GTCTTTGATGAAGAGAATAGAACAAAGTTGCAATTCAAATGGGAAGGAACCATTATTCTGTGTTGCTCTTTTTGTGGCTCACTGCCACTTACAGGTATCTTCCCAAGTCAACTCTATTTGCTTATCTTAAGTAACACGAGAGGACACTGCATCGAAGGACGTTGCAGTCCACTGGGACCAATATCATTTGTTATTGTCTACTTTAGATATAAGCTCGTCATACTTTTGACTTCAACCATGTATTTTGTTTTGGTTGCATTCCCATCGTTTGCTTTTAGTTTCACTTAGCGGGTCGGATATGAATAAAGATGAATGGAAGAATCTAGCAAATGAGAGGAAGTTGAGGGATTTTGACTTTGAAAAAGGTAGAGTGGGGATCAGTCAAAATGGAGATTCTTTGGGCATGAAAAATCAATGTGAACCATATCAGCAGGGGATCTTGATAGGGATCCTTCTTTGAAGATACCAGGAAACAAAAAAGGTGAAAGAGTAGTTGATGATCATGTTATTCTACGCTCAGAGTTTATGGTTTTCAATTCGACGTAGAGAGGTCCCACGTTGGTTGGAGAGTAGAACAAAACATTCATTATAAGGGTGTGGAAACCTCTCCCTTGAGGACAATATCCGCTAACAGTGAACTTAAGCTAGGGTTGTTACAAATGGTATAAGAGCCAAACCCTGAGTAAAATGCCATCGAAGACTCTAAGCCTCCAAAGGGGTAGATGGTGAGATTCCAAATCGGTTGGAGAAGAAAACGAACAGAAGCATTCTTAAGCTCTCTTAAGGGAAGCCGACTTGGGTGGTTACATCAAGCTAAAAGTTGGTTACACAAGGATGAGGAGATCATTATATAGAGTTTTCTTTATCATTCTTTGCTTGAAATCTTCAACTTGACACCCTCCACGGATTATCGGATGGAGAGGACAACGAAGCATACATTAAAAGGGTGTGGAAACCTCCCTAACAGACGCGTTTTAAAACCGTGAGACTGACGGCAATACGTAACAGGTCAAAGCGGACAATATCTGCTAACGATGGATTTAGGCTATTATAAATTGTATCAGACCCAGACACCAGGCAGCATGCCAACCAGGAGATATGGGGCCATAAGGGAGGTGGAGTGCGAGATCTTAACTTAGGTTGGAGAAGGAAACAAAGCATTCCTTATAAGGGTGTGAAAACTTCTCCCTAGTAGACACGTTCTAAAACTTTGAAGGGAAGTCCAGAAGGAAAACCCAAAGAGGGTAATCAATATCTACGAGCGGTGGGCTTGGACTATTACAACTACGAACCTAGCAAGTGCTAACACGGAAAAGATTGAACCCTCTTGACCAAAAGGACACAATCATATTGTAACTTCTAAGGGCCTGAAATTTTTTGGAAGAAAAAATGGAGTACAAAGAAATGAGTGGTTGATAATAGATGACAAGAACTCCAAAACAAACAGGAAGCAAAATGAGTGGAGAATCACTTGACAACCACGTATTATATTTTCAAAAGGTGTGGCTACAGTTCATGCTCACATGTTCAATGTTAAGCATTTTCTTGAGAAGAATCAACAAGTAATTCATCAAACTTACCGTCATTATCATACATCATGAGCAGCTTGACAAGCTTTATCAATCGACAATGGTGGGTCTGAAAATGAGCCATTCAAAATGTGGTTAGCAAGCCACAAGTTTGCAGCCTCAGAGTAGTGTATGCCATCCCAACTAACATGCCTTGATGGATCTTCGCAAGGATTATTCTCATAAACTGTTCCATTCACAACTTCCTTCTTCCCACAGTTAATATAAAAGCCATGAAAGCTCCCACAGCAAAACTTCACTGGATTAACAAAACCTGCCACCAATTCCAATACTAAAGTTAACTTCCGATCGATATTTCGAACAGACATCGAGAAAAAAAGGTGACAACCTTGCGCTTTTGCGTCGTTTATGAGCAGATATTTGGCTGAATACATGTCTACGTGTGTGATTCTAGCTTGAGGAAGCTTTTTCCTTAGCTCTAGCAGCAGATTCTTAAGCTGTCGGTTGAGTTCTCGAGCGACTTCATTTGCACTCTTCACGCACCCGACACTGTCTATATTACCTGGCCTCTTGTTATCCAGAATAGCAAAAGGCAGACATCCAATTGGACCTGTGTTATGCACCCAGAAATATCTTGCCCCTTCCTTGTACAGTTGCTGAAACATACACCAAAAAAGAACATCAGAGCTTTCGTTAAAGTTTCTGGAAGTGTTTTTGTAATGACCTGATTTTCCGCGCACACATCAGTCGGAGTCATCACTTAACAACAAAAAATGTATAAATTTATGCATTTGTAACCGCCCAAGCCCACTGCTAGCAGATATTCTCCTCTTTGGGCTTTTTCCTCGAGGTTTTAAAATGCATTTGTTAGGGAGAGGTTTTCACACTCTTATAAGGAATGCTTTCGTTCCCCTCTCCGACCGATGTGTGTGCGGAAAGTCGGGTCATTACAGTTTTTATGTGCATTGTTGAGTGAGTGATTTAGATTGCCTACTTCCACAGCTTCAGAGAATGTGTTTAGTATATCTGGAATTGAAGCTTTAACTTGTTCTTCTGATGAGTGTTGGAAACCATAGGAGAGATCGTTCTGTGCGATATCGAACGTATATAGTGCCTTCGGAAACTCCTGGGGCCTCGCTATACTTTTCATTGGTAGAGATGTCCTGTCTGTCAACAAGTAGCCAACATTTGTGTTAGAAAATTCATACAACAAAGAGAGGAAGCTCTGTTCTATTCTGAGAAGTGTAATGTGCAAAGAATAATTATTGAGAAACTGACTATTGGAGCGGAGTCGATTGTATAGATAGGTCGAGCGTGATTTGAATTGGATGAACTGTGATACTTGGAGGCCGAGATGAAAAGGGCTGTAACCACCGGGACGAATCGACGAACCTCCTGTTGCAAAGTTAGCTCCATGCCTAAAGCTTGTTCCTACTGAGTCAAGATATGCACTCAGATATGGAAATTTCAGCTTCTCAGCTGCAGAAGAATCACACAAATCATAAGAGCTCAAAATGGAGTTAATTCAACTATGATTTTGAGTTCAAGAATAGGTGGATTCCAGTTGAATTGTGGTTCTTATTGAGCTATGATTTACAGTGTAAGTAATTTGTGCATAACCTTCACAAACAGAGAGATATGAACAAATTTGGCTAGTTACCAATCAAGTCTATAATGAGACGGCCATCACAGGCCCTCCCAGAAGGATGTCCAAAGAAGGTTACGCCATTAGGTGACTGAATCACATTGAATGCAGCCGATATTCCACCAGTGTCCGAGTTTGAGTCGCCGAAGTTGTACACGGCCGGAAACCCACAACCGGAGCCGCTGCCGCCAGCCAACGCCACCGTTCGTCCCACTAAACCCAGAAACAGAAACACCAACACACGGCGGAGCGTAAGTGGGTCCATAATTTTCCACTACGCTAAGCAAAAGCAATGCCTCTCAGACTTTGAATGGTTTGATAGGCAACTTGTGATAATGGGAAGTAGCGGTGGTTTGATAGGCAACTTGTGATAATGGGAAGTAGCGGCGCACTGAGACGAAATGAGCGGAGAGTGGATTTTAGATGATGGATTGAATTTGGAGAAGGGTGCGACATGGGGGGGGGGGGCCACAAGCGTGGACAAAG